CCCTGTCTCACCTCTCTTCACTATGCCTGCAAGGCCACGCGATTTGCATAACAGGTTGTTTGCACCGCAGGCTGGAGGCTATTTCTTGACAGAGTTGGCCGACAAGGAGCAAACCAAATCTAGCATAGGCTGAGTTGTGCTCTTGGACAAAGTTATGACTTGCCCTGCTCCGAGCCTGGCCTGAAATGCTCCTCATACCTGCATTCAGTTTAGCTCACCGCTGACCAAACTGCCTCCGACGAGTTCGCTGCAACTACTCACTGCCCAATAAACAGGAAGTTAGCTACGTGATGGTCCTCATGTGCTGAGCACAGACAGAAGTATGAATTCACCGCCCCGTCTCACCCTCAGTGCTAGGTCTTTACTGGATCTTCACTTCAGTTTTCACAGTTCCGAGGAGATATGAGCCAGCCTTGGTTCGTGTTGGGTTTCTTGTGTTTTTTGGGTGTGGTTTTTGTTTGGTGTTGGGGGCTTTTGGGGTTGCTGTGTTTTTTCTTGTTCTGGCTCATATCTTCTCCGCCATCTCTTCGAACTCATTCAAGGTGACTTGTGCCTCTCGGCACACACAGCGCCCGTACCCGTGCAAAAAAAACACGATTTGCATAACAGGTTGTTTCCTCTTTCTGGTCAATGCCAATACTTGCGAGGCAAGAAAGTCACCTCTTTTGGTTTGTGTAGCTGCTGTGAGCGCAAGCGCTTACTGGAACAGCGAGTGACCACTGTCCAAAGTGGCATGTGAGCTTCGAAAGAGGGTGTGAGAATTTATAGTACTGAGGAGCGAAGACTCCATACCACTTGTTTAGAGACCGCAAAGAAAGCTTTTTGAGGAGTCTCCAACTCCTTATGACTTGTTTGAATGACGTTCGTTACCTTTTGAGGACATTGAAAGATCCCTTTCAATGTTTCCCTATGTTTGTAGTTTGTGTATGAGGTGTCCGAGAACACCCGAAGATGTTTAGACTATGCTCTTAGTTGTTTCCAACTGTTTTGAGAACTTTTGTGAAGCGTTGAATTGTTTTGAGTATGGTTTTGCATGTCCACAAATGTCCCGAGAACATTTGTGAACCTTGGAGAACGTTCGTCACTTTGGCTCAAGTGTGCGGCGAAAAGTGCGCGTATCTTTTGCCTGCTTTTTCCTCCGTTTTCGACTCGGGTCGTTGAGACACTTGACTGACTAGGTGTTTTGAGCACGAGAGCTTTTGATTTTTCGTCAGGAGTTTGTGTGTCAAACTTTCACGCAAAGGGTACCCCCCCTTCGTCTTTGACAGCCGGAGGGGTGCCTCGCAACAGGTTCTCGCCTTTAGCTGGTTTGAGCCAACTGCAGTAGAGGGATGACGTTCCTGCTGTTGACACATTGCCTCACATGTACACATAGTGCTCATGGCTAATCCATGAGACAGAGCTTCCCACGTACCGACAAGAAGGGACCAGGATGCGGGAGAGCATACGGCTTCCTCGTCCCATCCTCTTCATCAGCAGGATAGCCCCATCGAAAATAGGCTCTGAGCAAGTTTCGAGGGGTGATTGTGAGTGTTCTATGCTTGGAGAGTTTTTTCCAATTGGTTCTCGTGATCATGACTGCTAGACCTTTTGGAGTAAGTTTCCTTTGCTCTGAGTAGGAGACCTTTCTGGAAAGAGAAGCATCCTTGTCCTATCGGGACTAGGTAGGTTTCATCTTCAGCGTCTCCTTCATCACTATCAGGATCTGTAGCAGCTTCGGTTTCTTCCTGTCTGTTCCCCATAGGTTCAGGGATCTGCGCCCCCATTGCAGGGACAGGCTCGGCCATGCTTGTTTGGGCTGTCACGTCCGTGTCACCTTCCGGAGAGGACACAGGCACCTCTAGCCGAAAGGCACTTTTATATGAAGATTGAAAGGAGACCATCTGACCTTTACACCTGTCAGTGTTCTAGAACATTGAACAAGGAGCGGGGTCGAAAAGGGGAACAAGGAGCAGGCTCGAAAAGGGGAAGCTGCCGCATCCGTGTTTCCACACGGTAGCGAAAACGCAATCGACCCACGACGTGTCACAACTGTGGGAAACGGTCACTTCGCCAGAGAATGCTGGTGCCCAAAGATAGTCAAGCGCATCCAAGCGTCGGATGATTCACAGTCCACTGTCAGTCAAGGTGCGTTGTCGCTTCTCGAGCTGACACGCGCACCTCTGCAGTCAGACGAGTGAGGCTGGTCACCGCCAGATGCTTTCAAAAGTGAGGTTTTTGACGTGACCGAGAATGAAGAGGAGTATGAGCGCTTCGATGGAGTAAGTCGACTGATGAGGATCACCCAGACCGGCGAGCGCCTGATGATTTTGAGCCATCAGATGATGACGAGTGGCTGATGGAGAATGCGGAGGAAGAGAGCAGCGAAGACACTGAAGAGGTCTTCCATCAGTTTGCCCTTGCTCTCACGATTGCATCGCTCGTGCCGGTAGACCGGTTACCTTCGTAGGTCCCTAACTCGTGCGCTGTACATACATACCTCACTCCTCCTATGTTCGTTCAGCGGGGGGTGTTGTTGCACGCTAGTGTGTACAATGCATGCTTGGATTTTACTTGTTTGGCTCAAGGAAAGCAGGTGCTACTATCGTGGGCTAACCCGGTCATTCACTTGTAACGGCATTGTCAGACACATACCTCTGTGCATATAACAGTGCATAATTTGACCGCTTGTGTTTTCATAAATATGACTTTGTGTTCACCAAAAGGTTATAGACCGGAAAACTCCACATGTTAACAACTTCACCAGACACAGGAGCGGACAATTGGTGGTTGGTGGCAATTGGTTGATGGCAATTGGATGGTGACAATTGGTGGGTGGCAATTGGTTGATGACGATTGGTTGGTGGCAGTTGGTTGGTGACAACTGGTTGGTGACAACTGGTTGGTGACAATTGGTTGAAGTAATTGGTTGGTGGCAGTTGGTTGGTGACAATTGGTTCGTGGCAACTGGTTGGTAGCAATTGGTGGGTGGCAGTTGGTTGGTGGCAATTGGTGGGTGGCAAGCGGGAGGCGGGAGGAGGAGGAGGAGGAGGGCCGAGTGGATACCACTTAAAAAACAATAGCCCCACACGTCCAAAGCATACCGGTGCGCCTATGCAGCTCGAAAGCACAAAACCCGTGTCTTCGGAAATCTGCCGTGATATTCCCTACCCTGTCTTTTCAAAAACATGCCGATCAGATATTCATTTGCGTGCTTCGAGCAATGCCAACACCCCCCTTCTCAAAAATATGACATTAAATTTCCACAGTTAAGTATTGTCTTGTCAAAAGCATGAACACGTGTAATTTGAGACATGCATGTGTGGTGAATGGATTGTATACAAGCGGCAAGCGGATGGAGTTTTCATCGGCAACGATCTTGCTTCTTTTGGCCTCGCAGATCCGGACTTTCAACAGCTTGTCCCTATGGTGCACGTCCTTGAGCAACCCGGGGCACCGATGGTCACCAATTTGTATATTGTTCCCCGCGAACCGCATAACGAAGAGGGTTCGCCTCACCAAAGTTGGCGGTGCAGTTTCTGCATTCCATTTTGGCACTATGTGTCTGATTTCATAGCGCAAGTTTGCAACGGATCGCGCTGGTTTGCGCGGGGTTGCGTTCGTTTGTGCGAATTTGCGCAGGTGGAGCTGCTTCTTCCGTGCAACAACTGTGAAGCGTTGAATCGAAGGTTTGTGGTCCGTGTGGTTTGATGGGAAAATTATGAACTTGCCCACTTGTAGAGGCTTTACCCCATTGTCCCCCATCATTCCTGTTGTTGCCAGACCTTTCATCATCAGAGCTAATAGGCAGGTGAACTTGAGACAGTGTGTGTGTGTGTCTTTGCATGTGTCTGTGTGAGCTTGTGTTTGCATTGTGTTGTTGTGGTGGTGGGCTAATGTGTATGTCTGTGTGTGTGTTTGTATATGAGGGTTTGTTTGTTTTATGTCTCCGTCAGTGCCTGTTTTGGCCCCCGGCTCTCAGGGACTGGTAATGTTGCGAAAGGCGAACCTCAAATCAGGTGCAGGTCTGCGAAGTCGTGCAGGCCAATGAAGAAACATGTTTTTCGCACCAAATGCGGCAACCGTTTGGTAGTCGTTACGTATGTCAACACGAAATCAAGAGCTGACAGCAGTATCTAAGATAGCATGGCGCATGAAGATTGCATGTTGTCGAGGTGAAGACTGTGTGGAGCTGGGTGGGCTGTCACAGCTCAGATTGATACAGTTAATTCGTTGCAAAAGACGTCACGCGCATCCACATCGTGCCCTTGTGTGCAGGCCTTTTTCTGCCCACATACTGTCGCTGTGAACCATAGACACCTGCGACGAAACTCGTTTTCAATGTAATGCTATGAACGCATTGCGATTGCACCCGGTTTGTATTGAAATGGAAGCACTGCCATCAGAATATCAATTTCCATTTTATAACTGTTATATCCTTCAGCCTGTTCATGCTTCAGCTTGCGCACGGAATTCACCAGGATGTCTTTGTCCACCGTGTGCTGCCATCTCTGTGCGCCTATCACTCGTTTCAACGCTGTATTTTGTGAAGGAGTCCTAAGGCGACCAATCGCCACGCCCAGCCTAGCTGCAACCAGGACCCAGCCAAATGCACAAAGAGCTGCGCCCTGTGGCACTGTCAGCGCATGTGTTCGTGTGCGTTCCTTGTTGTTTGTGTTCTGGTGTGCGTATCTGGCGTATCGGGCGTGTGTGTGGCTCCATCCACGTCGACAGGTCGTAAGCAACCTTACCCCTGGGCTGGCATAAAACATGAGAAGAACGTCCAAACATAAAAGGTTACAGTAAAAAACAAGGCATAAAGAAACAAGTGACCAAAAAGAACGTCACAACGCAGCAACGCATGAGACAGTTTGACCCCTAACAAATTGGAACGAAACAACTTGAGGCACTCGAGCCACCATGCAAAAAACCAGGGGACCACAGCAACCAACCAACAATCAAACCTAAGCAGGTACGTTCACTGGGCAGCTTGGATGGGACTTGTTAGGCTGATGCCATCCAAGTCATGGGCGCCGCAAACTGCACAAAATCATTTGCGCACTCGGGAAATTCATGCTGAATTGAAAGCTGAAAGCCACTGGCCACATGGTGAGCTGGGTGTGAAAAACTAAAAAGTCAGGGTATATAGAAGTTTATAAGACGGTGTGACTATGATCCCCGAAGTCGTCAAATTCCAAAGCCAATGAACGCAAAGAAGGCAACGAGACTTCGAGCGATGGGTACTTGTCTGCAGGGCTCAAAAAGCTGCAAAGGCTGGCAATATTGGTCTAATTACAACAGGGCCAACAGCGTGAGATCCACACGACCACTTGCAAAGTATCAACGTACAAGCGTGCTGGAGGTAACACACGGAGCTTCGGTTCAGATGTGTTTGTACGCATACTCTCTCTTCAAGAGGTTCCCCAGACCGTTGTCCGCAGGAAAGCAAAAAACATCGGTTGTTTGGCCCCCGGTGCCCGTCACCTGTTTTGCTCAGGCAGTTTTTTCACCTAGGTTTGCTTTCAGTTCGTTTGTTTAATTTCCCGAATGTGTGTGTGTGTGTGATGTGTGTGGTGTGTGTGTTTGTGTTGTTGTTGTTGTTGTTGGTGCCAGTCTCACCCATCCCACGCAGCGGCGCTGCAGACACTCTTGCTTGGCCAACGCAGAAAGAATGGTAACGATCAAACTCAATGTCTTCAACCTCGCTCTAGGTAATGTAGGGGCGGGAACCAACAATGACATCTGGTGGTGATGCCTGGCCACATTTGTGGGATTCGTCGCCAATGCATTGGCGGAAATACCAACTGATCTGGCACCAGCAAAAAGTTTTGTGATAGAGGATGCCACCCAATCTGGAAGTAGGACTCTTCAATCTCATAGATGTCAGTTCCATCCCCGTCCCATGCCATGTGCACGGACTGAGGCCGCTTCCAGCGAGAGAGCAGCTGCTGTCGGCGGAGCTGGTGAGGGATGTGGACCTGCTGATAGTCCTGGCCGAAGAGCAGGAACAACGATTGTTTTACTGCACCAAGGGTCAAAGTTGACCCAACCTGAGTCTGGACCATCTGCTTTTGGTCCTTTGTGAGTCCAGCTCATTTGAGCATCATCCAGCCCGTTACCTCCTCACGGAGGTCCAGCTTGTGCTTTGTCCAGCAGGGCCCCTCAAGGGAGGAGAGGATGTTCAGGGCAACCTCACTCTTGCGACCCTGAAGCTCTATCTTCCTTGAGTGCAACAGTACTCTGCGCCGCCATTCCTTGTAGGTGGTGGTCGAGTTCTCGAAGCGCGGCACATAGTTGTGTTTGAAGTCCTTGGGCCCACCGCCGGCGCCATTCGCCGTTGCACCAGCTTCCGCGGAGGATGAGGTTCCTCTCCGTGCCCGAGAGAGCGCCCGACATGGCGCACCGTGGGAGCCTCCTGTTTGGGAGGTTCCGCGACCAATGTGAAGATGTGGAAACACGGAAGTGAACACACCTATTGTGATCGACCGCTGGAGGTGCCGTCACGGAATGCAAGTGACTGCTTTGCCATGTGCGTGCCACTTAAATGGCTCAAGAGGCCCCGGTGGCCAGTTCGAGGCGGAAACGGCATGGAGCGACGTCATGGTCAAAAGCTCATTCCACTCATGAAAGCTCTAATTGAGCGGCGCTCAATTCACAGTAGCGGAATGGCACGGCGAATGGGATGGTTGAACCGAGCCATCAAATGTTCCCGTTTCATCTTCAACATTGTTGTTCGGAACAAATGTCTTGAACATTCTTGAGCACATTTCCCAGTCTTGCTGTCGGTATGAGTGCGCACCTGTGCCCCATAGAGCACCGTAAAAGGTTCCGCAGTGTAACGATGTTTTCCTCTCTTTCCAGGACGCGGACGATGACCTCGACTGCCAGGAGGCCGAAGAATGGTTTGAACCCGAGATTCCAGAGGGAACCTACTACGATGAGAGCGCTGAAGATCCTGAGCGCGTCCTCGACACTGAGGACTTCGATGAGATTTACTCCACCTACGTGGACGCCAAACAGCGGCTCAACCAGTTGAGACAGACCCGAGGATTTTGTCCAGTTGTGGCCGTTGTGGACGGCAAAGGCCAAGCTCCTGTCATGGCTCAAAGTCCAAAAGCACCAGCCAAAGGTGGCAAATCCAAGAACAAGTCCAAGGCCCTTCTCAACTTGACATCGATTTCGGCCTTGCCGCATGCACTCTGGGCAGCGAACTTCATCTGGAGTCACTTGCGACGCTTCTTTTGCTCTGTCAGTTGAAGCTGACGACCAAAACGTGCACTTGGGTGACATTTTCAGTGGTTGGCTCGGCTGAAGCCCCAGCCGTGTTTGAGGCCAAATCTCATCACTCAACA